GGAAGGAAGGAAGGAAGGAAGGAAGGAAGGAAGGAAGGAAGGAAGGATAGGTACAATTAAACATTTTGGGATTATTTCAATGTATCTTTTCATTGATTGTATGCTTTGAAAAACTGAAAACATAAGCCTAAATGTGTACATTTGAATTTGCTAATATATATTGGGTTTGAAAACAGTATAAGGCAGCCTTTCTGTGAATATACTATTTAAAAAAACTATGCAATTTTCAGAGCAGATGTTATTTGCAGCAGTCCAACACATCTGGTGGGAAACAGATCAGGAAAGGCTGATGTGAGGGTGCATCAAGTTACAATCTAACTGCTAATGATTCAGTGGTCACTTGTATTGTAATTTTTAGAATATTTATGTTAAAAAAAATTCAAACGAGTATAGAAGCTTTTGCCCATGAATCGATATGTTCATGTACACATAGCTAGTAACACAATAATCTAGTTTTTGCCACAGCATACAACCTGAAAGAAATGTTACATGCAAATCTACCCTGTGTAATGATGGCTTGATCATAGTTTTCAGTTAATTTGCCACAGAGCAATAGAGGAAACTTGGAAAGAGGTATTATTTCCTCACTCCAAATTGATTGCAACTGTCTCTATCCAACCAGAAGGGTGCAAAATAGGATTTAAATATCTTTTGGGGAAGTATGTAATATTTTAATCAATAACACCCCTAAATCCAATTACAAACTACCTGAAACAGAGACTTTTAGTAACAATGAAAAAGACCATATGGAGCAAAAACCTAGAGAAAATCCAGATAAGCTTAAAAAAAAATTCTAAGAGCTGAATCAAACCATTACAACCTTCCATAGGATCATGAGGAAAATGAAAAAGCTTGGTGAAATATCAATAATTGTCATTCAGAGCAGTTTTTCCTCAACTTAACTTCCTCCAGATGAAATCAGGTTGAAATGCCCAACTACAGTAGCTATGATAATGCAGAGTGCCAGGCTGAGTAAGGTTGAAGACTCACAAAAAGAAATGTAAGCAGACCTCTGCTGAAAAAGGCAAATGGTGTTTCTGATGGCAAAGGGATGTAGAACAAGAGTAGAAAGTGGGAACACTCAAATAGAACTCTATGGAGATTCTCAGTCATCCAGGTCATGGTTTTCACAAAGGTACTTTATCAAAAGGCAACTGGACTTTGTTTTTCCTCGAAGACATTTCATTTCTCATCCTAGAGAACTGAAGAAGCTTCTTGGATAAGAAGTTTAAAGCCTTGAAGGGGAAAACAAAATTTAGTTGCCTTTTGAAAAAGCACTTTAGGGACTCAAATAGAAGAACAACTTAATCCAAACTCTTATAGGTATCTTCCATATGTTCAGAGAATTGTGGTTGTTTTGGAACAGCCTCCCTCCTGAGATTTAAGGGATTCCCTTTCCAGAGAGTTGTGAAGACCTAGCTTTTCCCCCAAGAATTGATTGGGGTAAAATGGTGGTTGAGCTGCAAGGATTTTGGTCTGGCACCTGGAAGAATTACTATTTGTTTTTAACCGCATTTTAATTGATTGTTGTGAGCCATATAGAGTCATTATATGAGACTGCCATGTAGGTCCTTAAATAAAATTAAGACTCCTTGGTTAGCAATAGCAACCCTATAAATGCATTGAATGTTGTATGTCAGCCAATCTTACACAAACATGTAAATATTTTTGTTCCTCTACTTTTCAGGTGAAACGTGTAAGAGAAGCTGAGAGCCAGTACAAACCACTGCTTGACAAAAATAAACGTCTAAGTAGGAAAAATGAGGACTTGTCCCACACCTTACGTCGTATGGAAAACAAACTCAAATTCGTAACACAAGAGAACTTAGAAATGGTAAGTTCTTGTACAAATGAATATAAGTTCACTACACCAGTGGTCACCAACCAGTGGGCCGGGGACCACTGGTGGTCCGCGAGAAAATTTTGGTGGTCCACAGAGAAATGTCACTCCGAAGTAATTAATCCAGGCTGTGTGGGAACACAAGACTTGCGTCACTTGCATTGCGAACCACACAAGGTAGTGAGGGGAGGGGGGAAAGGGCAGAGGGGGGGAATTTGCCCCACATACCCACGTGCCTCGCCTGGCCACCAGGCTGCTTCTTTCCGCTTCTTTCTTCTTCTTCTTTTGGTTGCACGCAAGGAAAGCAGCAAAAGTCTTTCTTTCTCTCCCCCAAACTCCACCAGAAATGAGTCTTTGGGACCCTGCAAGGCCTCCTGCTCCAAGAGGCTGCACCGGCATGACAAATCTCACAAAGACTCATTTCTGGCGGAGTTTGGGGGAGAGAAAGACTTCTGCTGCTTCTCCTGCTTTTCTGGCATGAAGCCAAAAGTCTCTCTCTCTCTCTCTCTCCCCCTCTCTCTCCCCCTGAGATCAGAGCTGGAGATGGTATCCTGTGATCCCAAAGAAAGAATGATCAATTGGTAGGAAAACGGGGTGGGGAATTTTCCTGCAGACTTTTTTTGGGATTTTCCCAGGGTCTCTGGTCCACGGGATTTAAAGTTATGAGTTTGGTGGTCCCTGAGGTCCAAAAGGTTGGCAACCCCTGCACTACACAGTCCATTAGTGATAAGTTCTGAATTTTCAATTAAAAACACCTTTGAGCAAAATATTATTGCTATGTAAAATTTTGTTGACAATCTGAACTCCTCAAACCAATTCAGTTTTCAACTCTGAATTGAAACAGAACAACTTCAATTTTTAAATGTAAAAAGTAAGGCGAACACTATTAAAAATGATTATGAGCACATTCCATCCTACTCAATTTGGTTAAAATAAAGAATGCATTATGTGGAGAAGGTAAATGGAACAAGAAGGAAAAGAACAAGAACAAATGAAATCCTCCAGTGATTCTAGGATTGTTTTATAAAAGTGTGTAATATGTAAACTCATTGCACTGACACATTTAATTAAGAACTGTTGAAGTAACTTACTGGGTCCAATTTAAAGTAGTGGAAATTATATGCAGTGAACCCAAAGGTGCTTTTTTCAAGAGGCAACTGGACTTTCTAGTTTTTCCTTGAAGGCATTTCGCTTCTCATCCAAGAAACAAAATGTCTTCAAAGAAAAACCAGAAAGTCCAGTTGCCGCTTGAAAAAAGCACCTTTGGGACAACCAGGACCTGGATGACTGAGAATCCCATAGATATATACAGTCAAGTTTCACCAGGTATGGTAATAGATAAATAAATTCCTACAATAAATAAATAAGTGTTCTAGCAATTTCTCAGTGTTCGTTCTGTTCCTTTAGAGGCAAAGAGTGAGGACAATAAGAAGACCAAGTTCTTTAAATGATCTCGATCAAAATCAAGATGAAAGGGAAGTTGACTTTTTGCGGTTACAGATCATGGAACAGCAGAATATCATAGATGAGCTTTCAAAGGTAACCAACATTTTTGTCTTCTTGGCATGACAATGGCTAGACTGTCTCCTTCTGTGGGGGTTGAGTTTGGATGGAGGAAAAATAAGACCTTAGTTGAATGTACACAGTATAAGATTAAAGTTATTAAGCAGTGCTAAGCAAAAAGGTTGGAAATCTTTCATTCGATCATTCATGTAATATCCAAACAGGTGGAAAAGACAAAATTTCTGAGCTATATAATTATATTAATTATAACTATATAATTAATTGAAGGTAAATGTGATCACTGCTTTCTCTTGGTAAAAATCTACCTTTCAGATTCAGTAAAATAAAAAAGTTCTATTGTATCTTACTTCACACTGCAAATGTAAAGGGCATGCTAAAAAAAATTAAGCACTTAACTGATGTTTCTACATTTGGAATTCGTATAGTGAGATAAAAATTACTTTCTTCCCTTGTGGCATTGTAGTAGACAATTTTATCTTGCTTGCACAAGATTTAGAACAAGAAATTTTCCAAAATTTGGAGGGTATGTAGTCAATTGCCTCACCAATTTCTTGTTTGCTTGAGTTCCATTAAAATGAAATTAACAATATATCAGTACATTACTCTGCCCTGCCCAATCTGATGTTGCCCAGATATGTTTGATCACAATTCCTTAAATGCTGGGTACAAGAAGTCATGGGCACTATGATCTAACATACCAAGAATTTATCTGTTAACTGAATGAAACTTTCACAAATTTCTTCAAAGAAAATCATAGCCTGGTAAAAGCTATGGAATTTTAGGATTAGAGTTCTTTAAATCCCAAGTTACCATTGGGTAGGGAGGAGAGGAAATCCCATCTGCTAAACCTTAGATATTTCTGTATTTTGAATTCCCAGCTGGCATTGTTGCTGATCATCCAGACAGATCTAAATATCTAATTAATACTTTAAAAGTTATATCAAAAGCCAATTGCACAATAACTATGTGCCAAAAATTATGTAGATGAAAAGAAAATGGGGATATTCAGAATCTTTATTACCATTGTAGCACCCTAACATTTTCTTTTAATTCTTTTAAACTAGACTCTAGAAACTGCCGGCTACGTGAAGAGTGTAATGGTAAGCAACATTCACATTTGACTTTGATTTTCATATATGCTTCTCTGTGTTCTGCCTGGGATTATTTAGCGATAGATACTTAATGATATTACATATTAAATAGCAAAATAATTTATTCTAATTACTAACACAGATATAAGCCACAGAATTTCCTCTAAGGTGGTAGAAAATTAAGAGTACCAAGGACAAATTGGGTTCCTAAAGTCTGATGGTCACATTTTTTGTTTTGTTTTTTTGTTTTGCTATATGCTGATTTGCACCATAAATTATCTGTATAATTTGATTGCAAATTTCACACCTTCTATAAATATGTTTCATATGCAGAACTCAAGTGATTGTTCTTTTTTTCTCGGACAGGAGCGTGACAAGCTTTTAAGATACAAGAAACAAAGGAAGAAATTTGCAAAATTTCCCAAGGTAAGTGAATAATGAAAAAAAAAAAAAGCTTATCTGGGGGCAAGTATTATGAAAGATTCAATGGAATATTGAAAGACACAATTTGGCTGAGCCTCTGGATTCCCACAGATTTAACCAGAAGCTTTTGAGAAACTTATAAACAGAGTGAGAATGTAGATCTTTCCCCACTATTAATTCATAGCTTCACCTGCCCTTCAAAACTACACTAATTCAATTTAAACATGAAGATTTTTATTAAAATGGCATCATCAAAGTCACTCCAGTCATAAATTCAGGTTCAGCTCTAATATAAAATTATCAGGACAAATGCCATTAAGAATGTCAAAAAAAAATACTGATGACTTATTCCAATATTTAAATTAATTCAATTTGTGCCTTCTCTGAAATCTTCTAAATAAAGTTTACAAAGAGGCAGATACTTTATCTTAAATTTTAAAAGCTCAGTTGAAGGACGTGAAAACAAACTGGTTTTCAGAGCAGAATGTTCAAAATCTCTTCACCATAAAAAATTACTTTTTGAATTAAAATGTCACTGATTGTAGTTCACGTTCAGGTGGGTGAATAGAAAAGTGATGACTCTGCATATGAGTCTGTCAGTCTTTTTTTTCAGAACATCTGGCAGCAGCTTCTTGGAAGGTGGAAGAGCTCAGCAAACCTTTGCTGTTTCCTCAATATTTCTTCCTAAATTTCAGAAACTTAAATATCCCCCAATAAATAGTGAATTGCAACAAAGTGAATTCCAAGGAATTGCTATTACTTTCTTAGCTTGACTTTGACTAAATAAGCACTGTTTTCTTTGCTGATTTAGAGGGTTTTTTTAATGGAAATCAAGTAGGGATATTTCCCTCCTCCATGAGTACAATAGCTCAAACTCTTTAGAATACCAGAAAATTTGGATTTTCTTGGTAAACTATAACTTAGTTTCATATATTTTTATTCGATATCTGAAAGGATGCCAATCTGTTCTCTTATTATATTTTTAAAGACAATTTAAGTCCTTCCATAGAGCTTTTTCAACCCTACAAGCCCCTTGCAAAACGTTTTCTTCTGACTTTTCCCATCCATTCCTTCTCAGTTTATATCCCCCTCCTTTTATCTCTTTTTTTAGCTATTCTTCCTAAACCTCTTTATCATTGTGAAGGTACACATAAGATTTTCTTCCAGCTCGCATTCCATTTTTTTATTCATTGAGGGAATATTCATAGATGATAATGCCAATTTTTTATCCCATGATAAATTAAATATCAAGTTTACTCTCATTTGTGATGATTCTACACTGAAATTATAGAAGATTTATGCTGGCTCAACAGCAGCTTCAGTATTCATTAATGATTAGGAAACTATGAATTGTACTTGATAGATAATCATTACTTACTCTGCTGCCCCATTTATATGGCAGGTCTGATAAACTACTATATAATGAGAAAAGTGCTGAGATTCATAAAGAAGGAAGGAAGGAATCTAATTATTCCTTATGCCAGTTATATTTAACATCTTTGTAACTTTGGCTTGTTTGTACTGACACATTGTGATTTGGTCAGAAGCCAGTGGTGGAAACATTTTTTGGGTATGATGAAGAAGCATCTCTTGAATCTGATGGCTCTTCAATCTCATATCAAACGGATCGAACAGATCAAACTCCCTGCACGCCAGATGATGACCTGGAAGAGGTAATTTATGATATGTATAATCTTCAAGCAAGAGTTTATGCTTAAAAATATATTATATGGAATGTAATTAAATGTATTCTTGTTTTAGTCGTAATAATATAAACTTTGCAGGGAGATCATTGCAATGTACCATTGACCATGATCAACAAGATCTCTTCTAGAGCTGAAATCAAAATGGAGAATATTTTAAGCCATACATGAAAGACTTTTCTATCTAACATTTAGAGTGAGGTGCAGTGACTCAGTGGCTTAATGGTGCTGGAGATGGTCTTAACTCCAATGGTTTGAGCCCAAGCACTGCATAGCAGGGTGAGCTCCTGTAACTCATGTCAGCTTCTGTCCATCCAACAGTTTGAAATCATGTTCTATTCAAGTAAAGCAGGGAGCAGGGGATGAGCTGGTGCTCTGTGCAAGCAATCAGATTCCTGACAGCTCTGAACCTTCCCAGTTGCAGCTCCTGTTTGCAAGGCAGCTCTGGGAAGAGAAGGGGCCTTGGGTGACAATGCAAGAACAACCACTTATCTTTCTCTCTGGTGCAAATCACCCTCCTGTGATGCACCTTGGGAAGCATGCAAGTGTTTCCTTTAACAAGACCTTGGCAAGCCAAACTACTACTCTGCAATAGCATGGTGGTCTCCTGGCAATTGTAACAAGGGAGGAGGAGGAGAAGGAGGAGTCACTGGTATTTGTGATAAATTTTGAAATGTTCAGTTGACTGAGTTTCATGTTTAATGAATAAAAAGATAATAATAATAATAATAATAATAATAATAATAATAATAATAATAAT